TGAGTAATTATGACACTTTAAAAGGCTTGAAGCAAAACTCTCTGTTGAATTAAGTGAAATGAGTGCTATACTGTGTTTATATGAGCAAAATAAATGGACAAATGAGCAATTGTTAAATGAATTTAATCAACCTGGATCATAAACTACCTAGGTTCAAATTCCCATTATTTTGTTTGACATTGGGCATATTAACTGTACTTGTCTGTGCCTCAGTCTGCTCTGTAAAATGAGAATTATAAGGCTATCTGCTGGGGTTGTCATGAGGATTACATTAAATGACACATGTAGGCATGTGGTATGGTGCCGAGCATGCAGTGAGCACCTGGCAAATGTTGGCTCATGATTTTATTATTATTTCTCTAGGCCACTTTTTCAATTGTTTTACCTTTATGAATAAAATGTAGCCATAGCAACTTCAAATGACTTTTTTTTTTTTTTAATAAGAGGCCTCTAAACAGTTAAAACCCCAAAGCTGACTTTCTTCCTGTGGTTAATGTGACGGTTAGTGTGGCCCAGTGTTTCACCAAATATTAACTTTTATTCTTTCCTCTCCTCACCAAAGACACTTGTCCTTAATGAAAACAGAAAACTGATTTCCTAATTAACATTTTCAGAAATATGGCTTTATTATGCACCACTTTTAGTCAAAATAGATAGCTATGTCAGAAATGTTCTCATAGACAGTGGGCTAAAAGCAGCTTTGATTTCAGTGTCAGAAGGACTAGACAGTAGGTTTTAGAGGGAAGGATCTGTCTCTCCACAATTGCTGTAGCTTAGGTGCTTGGCACAGAGGCTGGCATATGCTAAGCACCCAATAAGAGAATATGTAAACTTCTAGTTGATTCCTCTGTGTCATAGCAAGTGGCTCTCTATGACTTCATCCTCCAAAGATCACGTGGTGTCATGAGAAGAACCTAAATCAAGCACACTTGGCTTTAAATCTCCAAACTTTTACTAGATCTATGGTCTTCAGCAAGATAATCTTTCTAAAGTAAGCCACAGTTTTCCATCTGTAGATGGGGCAACTCTTATAGGATTTCAGCAAGAGTTAGTGATAACAATGGTAGCTTGATAGGGATAGTATTGAATCTATAAGTTACTTAGGGCATTGACTTTCTTCAAAGAATTAGAAAAAACTACTTTAAACTTCATATGGAACCAAAAAAAGAGCCTGCATGGTCAAGACAATCCTAAGCAAAAAGAACAAAGCTGGAGGCATCATGCTACCTGACTTCAAACTATACTACAAGGCTATAGTAACCAAAACAGCATAACATTGGTACCAAAACAGATATATAGACCAATGGAACAGAACAGAGGCCTCAGAAATAACACCACATATCTACAACCATCTGATCTTTGACAAACCTGACAAAAACAAGCAATGGGGAAAGGATTCCCTATTTAATAAATGGTATTGGGAAAACTGGCTAGCCATATGCAGAAAACTGAAACTGGACCCCTTCCTTACACCTTATACAAAAATTAACTCAAGATGGATTAAAGATTTAAATGTAAGACCTAAAACCGTAAAACCCTAAATAAAACCTAAGCAATACCATTCTGGACATGCGCAAAGACTTCATGACTAAAACACCAAAAGCAATGGCAACAAAACCCAAAGTTCACAAATGGGATGTAATTAAACTAAAGAGTTCCTGCACAGCAAAAGAAATTATCATCAGAGTGAACAGGCAACCTACAGAATAGGAGAAAATTTTTGCAATCTATCCATCTGACAAAGGGCTAATATCCAGAATCTATAAAGATTTTAAGCAAATTTACAAGAAAAAAACAACACCATCAAAAAGTGGGCAGAGGATATGAACAGAAACTTCTCAAAAGAAGACATTTATGCAGTCAACAAACATATGAAAACAAGCTCAACATCACTGATCATTAGAGAAATGCAAATCAAAACCGCATTGACATACCATCTCATGCCAGTTAGAATGACGATCATTAAAAATTCAGGAAACAACAGATGCTGGAGAGGATGTGGAGAAATAGAAATGTTTTTACACTGTTGGTGGGAGTGTAAATTAGTTCAACCATTGTAGAAGACAGTGTGACAATTTCTCAAGAATTTAGAACCAGAAACACCATTTGACCCAGCAATCCCATTACTGGGTATATAACCAAAGGATTATAAATCATTCTACAATAAAGACACATGCACACATATGTTTATTGCATCACTATTCACAATAGCAAAGACTTGGAACCAACCAAAATGCCCATTAATGATAGACTGGATAAAGAAAATGTGGCACATATATACAATGGAATACTATGCAGCTATTAAAAAGGATGAGTTCATGTCCTTTGGAGGGATATGGATGAAGCTGGAAATCATCATTCTCGCAAACTAACACAGAAACAGAAAACCAAACACCGCATGTTCTCACTTTTAAGTGGGAGCTGAACAATGAGAACACATGGACACAGGGAGAGGAACATCACACAGGGGCCTGTTGGAGGGTGGGGGACTTGTGGGGAGGGATAGAATTAGGGGAAATACCTAATGTTGATGATGGGTTGATGCTGTAGCAAACCACCATGGCACGTGTATACCTATGTAACAAACCTGCACGTTCTGCACATGTATCCCAGAACTTAAAGTGTAATTTAAACAATTTTAAAAAAAAACTACACACACAATAAAAAAAGGAGTGATAACTAATGTAAATACTTCTTGGACATAATAGTGCACAATAAATGGTATCTTTTTAAATTAACTTCCTGAAGATTTTATCATCCATGAATTCATCTACATTTTAGTTGAGTCTATTTAAATCATGCTTCATCGTTCTCACATTTTTCTATCTCATGTGTTAATGCAGAATGGTGTAGGGTAATGAGCTTACATTTTGGAAACCCACAGATCTGGGTTCAGAGCCATCTCTGACACATAGGGAGACGGTTCGCTCCAAGGGAGGCAAAGACAGAAAAAAAAGACCCTAACCTATTATTTACTAACTCAGCGACCTTGAGCAACCAAGGACTTAACTTTCTAAGCCTTGATTTCTTAAATGGAAATGATAGTTTAGCCTTAACCCATAGGGTTGTGATAAGGATTAAATAAAGGCTCATTAGGGCTTTGTTTTATCTTCATGTCTCAGAGAGAACCAAGTGCAGTGAACACCTAAGGTAATCAAAAATGGGGGATGAAGAAATCATTAAATGAATAAATGAATGAGAAGGAAGAAAAGGTGAGGGAGCAGGGAGGGAGGGAAGAAGGAAGGAAAGAGCATGCCCTACAGATATTTCAGGACATAAGTACCTTACTTTGAGCTTTTTCTTTTAAAACGTAGGGTAGCAAAATCTTGAGGGCAAATCCTGAAAGAACTCATTTGTAAAAATTAGCACTTCCTATAAGCCTGTCATATCATCCTTACCAGACCTCATTAAGCATCTAGAATACCTTGGAAAAGCACCAAATTCCAAATCATAAAAAAAATAGGAGAAAACATTCCCAAAGCAAAAGGATTCTTTTCTATCTTCCCAAGCATCTGTTCCTTCATACTGAAAGATTTCATGCAAAATATATTTCATGTAATTCAAATAATTAACAGAAACAAATATTAAACAAGTTACAGTAGCAAATAATAAATCTCTTCTGATTTCATTACTATTGTTCTAAGCTTGCAATAGATATAAACATTCTTGTACCCAAATTGCCGGCAAAATTAAGAATGTATTACCAGTTTTATTAGAAATAATTATTTGGAAGGAAGAACTATTTGATTTTTTTTAATCATTGAAGAGCAAAACAAGCACTTAGAACTGTGTATTTTTTTAATAAAAAGAGCAAAAAAAGGAGTTATTGAAATCAATTAAACCTTTTTTGTGGTAGAAAGGGAACATCCAAAATGCACTGAAAATAGTCTATTTTGAGCAGTCATAGTTTTCTTTTTTCTTAAACATATCAGACATAGATTTCACAGCTCATAATTAATTCCCAGTGCCCACATCACCATTAATTTTTAATCAAAGCAGAGCTGCTGTGAGTGCTACTGCTATTTCACCAAGATTAGCAGGGGTTTGCTTCCAGAATGAGAAACCATTATTGGTTCTGCATAACAGAGACTGATATCTACAAGGATAGCCAGATGCACCCCGCAGTTCCAGCTAATTACCCACAGGTGATGGGGACCAAGCTCTGTGTCTTGACACACACACATACAAACACACACACACACACACACGCACACACACACAAATCTAGTTTCACAGGCTAGGGATTTGGGGTTTTATATTCTTGGCAGTGTTAGACTTAGAATGTATATATTGTTAAGAAGCATTTCCTCTATATGTATAAAGGGAATTTTCCACAATCAATTTACTATCCTTATGTTCATAAACGTATGTGTACAGGAACGCCCCAGAGAGCACAGTAACCTTGCACCAGGGAGTAAATATGATACAAGTTCACGGAACTTTTCTGACATAAAAATCACCAGACAAGGAAGTTATTTCAACGTGGGTTTAAGAGGGCCCCAGACAAATTATTCTCAAATCCAACATCAAACAACACAAGGCAAAACCAGAAGACTAATGCTCAATTTCAAATCGGCTAAGTGTTCTAAGTAAGAACAAGTACTATCAACTCAACAGAAACCCTGCTGCAAGGAAATTAGGTTTAATACCTTTGCATAAAAGGTACAACTTGGTCATTTAGATTTAAACAACTATAGAAAGTCCAAATTAATTTCTTTCTGGAAAAGTAATGTCATGTTTATTGAAACCTAACAAAATGTCTAATAAGAGAAGATTAAATCTGGCAAACAGAATATAAATGAAAGCCAAACTGTTTTAACATACATGATGAGATATTTACACACATGCATAGACACAGATATATCTTAAAGATATACACAAGTATATGTCAAATATATATATATGCTCATCAGAGATTTTTCAAAATAGAAGAATTAGTGATAATTTTAATTTTTATGTATTATTCTCTTTATTTTACAAATTCTTAAAATGAACATATATTGTCTTTACAATAAGAAAAAAAAAAATCTGGGATCTCCCAGAAGAGGAAAAAGGCTGATGTTGGGAAGGTGGCATGCATGCACAATCACCAAGGGAGGAGCCAGCCTGGGAACAAAGCAGACACAGAAAAGTACATGTACTTTTTGAGGGAGGAAAATATGGCAAAAAAAAAGGGCCACTGGATGAAGCTGACCCTGAAGGTTACCCGAACTTGAATTTCCAGCTGTCAATACATTTCCTTATTGTTTAAGCTCATCTGGGTTAGGTTTTCTATTGATTACAGCCCAAAGCTCCCAAATAAGGTACACTGGTGAAACAGATCTCAAACCTACCTCGGTCTGAACCATGTCTGTCTAACTCTACAGCCTGCATCTCAACCACTATGCCACACTGCGTCCCCAGAATCTACATGAGCAATGAGTCCGTGGCCAACTAATTTGACTGGCCCTTCCTCCAAGATGCGTAATTTCCAGCTCCCCACTCAATTCCCCGCTTCTAGTTATACCACAGAATGAAGACCAGCCAGTCTTCTGAGGGTGTGGACATGCGGTGCCTCTTCCCTCAGATCGGAATCTTGCTCCCGTCTCCTTCCCTGGCTGGGCTCCTCTACTGCGTCACTCTCCTCATTGCCTTCCTCATGTTTCCTGGTATCACCTATCCCAAGTCGGGCTTTAGTTTGAGAAACCTAACATAAAATAGACAAATAGTGTTAAGAATAACCAAGAAAAATGAAACAGAAAGACATGGTGGGAAGGAAAACAGTAACCCATTTTCGTATGTCACTAAGAAAAATTTAAAGTCTTTATGTCAGTAGGCTACAGTGAAGAAAAAAACATGATGTGATCCTATTTTATTTTATTCAATTAATTCAGCCAGTATACACTGAACACTTTTTTAAGCTCTGGGAATATAATAGTGAGTACAACAGGATAGTCTGCCTTTTTGGAGTTTGCAATCTGTCTGGAAAACAGACATTGACCAATTAATTACACAAATAAATATAAATATAGGTGCCTTAAATGCCATGAAGGAGAGATGTGTGATGAAAAGTTATTGCGAGATGACAGTGGGACAATGGGTCAAAGTAACAGAAGATTTTATGTATATAAAATATAAAAATTAAAATAAATATATAAATTATATTAATGAAAAGAATTAAAATAAATATTAATTGAATTGATTACAAATAAATAAATAAGCGCATACACACACACACGTGTATATATATAGAATCACATACTTGGAGAAGCTGAGAAGGAGAGACCCAGGAAAGCCAGTGTTGTAAACTCTGGTTTGAGTCCGAAGGCCTGAGAACCAGGAACTCTGATGGTATAAGTCCCTGTGTAAGGAAGAAAGAAGACAGATGTCTTAGCCTAGGCAGCCAGATGCTGAGAGTAAAGTGAAACTTCCTCTACCTTTTTGTTCTATTTGAGTCCTCAGCAGGTCGGATAATGCCCTCTCACACTGGGGAGAACCATCTACTTTACTCAGTCTACCGATGCAAATTCTAACCTCTTCTAGAATCACTCTCATAGACACACTTATAAATAATGTTTAACCAGATATCTGGGCATCTTCTGAGCCAGTCACATTGACGCATAAAAAGAGCCATGACAATTACCTTGCAAGGGGAAGAGTATCTGAGCAGTATAATTCTGCCTGCTAGAGTACAGTGTAGTACATTTGACATGGATTAAAAGAAAAACAATAATAATAAACTAACCAGAGACTCTAGTTAGGCTCACATGTTTGTCTGGCTCTTTTATATAAGTATCAAGGAGCTTCCCTCTTTATATGGTTAGAGAAACACTACAGTCAACAGTGAACCTAGAATCTTCTAAGTCAAAAGTAAGACTGTCATTCTCACACAGCTGAGAACATTTTCAGTACCAGTGTGTCTCCCATCAGGGATAAAACTGAGAGACTTATTTTGTTTTATTGTACACATCTTATAAAATTTCACACAAACAATAAAACTGTAAAAATAATAGAGTGAAGATTCATGCATTTGTTATTCAGTTTAAAGAATAAAATATTTCCAATATAATTTAAAGTGTAAAGTACCCATTTGCTTCTCCCTCTGATCACATTCCCTTTCCTAATACTCAAAGGTAGCAGGTATTCTAAATGCACTGATTATCATCATCATGAGTTTCTTTATACTCACTATAAATGTAATATCCCTAAAGAACAGTCTCAATTTACATGGTATTATATTTTATACTAATATGAACATATTGTATACATTCTTCTACGCTTTACTTTTTCTGTTTATTGTCATACATGTGTGGTTCATTGTTGTAAATGTAGGTACATCCTGTCTGTTAATTTTCACTGCTGCATAATATTCAATTGTATTCATTCATTCTCTTGCTCATGAAAATTTAACATTTTTCAGCTTGAATCAGTCTATCCACATAGTATGTTTCTCCTCTTAAAATAACTGAATATTAATTTTGTCTTTAAACTTGCTTCAAAAACATTCTGTTCATTTCTGCATGATGTTATAGAATCTGCACTCCACTGGTGTGTCAAAAGTCTAGTTCTGAGATTCTGTATACGTCTGTGTCACTTATGGGTGGCTATTTGGTCTGTGTATATTGGGAATGGACCTGAGAAGTTCATCTCTATAGTGATTTTCTCTAGGACATCCTTAAATATTTTTTTTCTTTGCTACCACTGAAATTACAATGGCATACAAGCATGATTACTCCATCGACTCAGGAGAGAGGAAATGCTAGAAGCCTTTGTTCTTACATGGATATAAAGACATGTCAGAAAAGGCTATCATTATTCAAATTCATGACATGTCTTTCTTCTAAAAGTACTTTAAAACTATATAATTGAATTTATCCTGAAAGTACTTCTGGGAAATAGAGGCAATTTCAGCCCAATTTAATAAGTGACACTGAAGTTTGTTGGATCACCCCAAATCACACAGACTAGCTTTGATTCTTGCTCTAAAATGGCATATCTTCAACTGAACTGTCTCATACAGCTTTCATTTTTGATAGAATAGTTAAAGCCCACATTATTGTAAGTTGTGGCACTAGAAAAGCTATTTCAGCAACCGAATCGACCAAGGCTCCAAATCCCTGCAGACAGCTTTATCAGTTATGGTCCATTTGTCTGGCAATAAAAGAAACCCAATGGTGTTAACAATAGGGAAATTTATTCTCTCACAAAGAAAGAAGTCTAGAAGTAGTTAGCTGATTCAGTGGCTTATCATGGCCCTTGAAGAGCCAGATTCTTTTTTACTCTGCTCTCCCTTCCTCATATCAACATTAACCTCAGGCTGGTAGCAACATAGCTGCAGCAGCTCCAGGCATCACATCCAAATACAACAACATTCAGAGGAAAAAGGGAAATATATCTTTATAATCCTCTCTCAGAAACGGTCCTTGAAACTCCTCGTCTGACCCCACCCAGCAAACTTTGCCTCTAGTTGCACTGGCCAGAGCCATGCCCCATGCCTATCACTGAACTAAACATGAGCAAGGGGATGAGATTGTCATGTTTCTGCCAATCAGGTCCACACCTAGAGGTGGGATTGGGGTCAGCTTCCCCTGAAATGCATGACTATGTGAGACAGGAGGAGATATCTAAACAAAATCAAGGTTCTGGTAGAAACAAAGAAGAAAGGATACGGCATAGGCAACCAAGAGTCCATCAGCATCAATTCTCTTTAAACCCCAGGCTATATACTAAGGATATAGGCTTTATCTCTAAGATTTCAGAGACAAAGAGGTGAATTCCAGTTGTTTTAGCCGCATAACAGATTTTTACAAACTCCAGATCCAACCCCCAAAAAACAACCTACTTCAATCCCCCAAAATCTGTAGATTTGCAATCTCAATCAGCAAAGTGGATTATCAGTATTTGGTTATTCATAGGCCAAAATAAAGACCTTTGACCTGAGTATTTGAGTTAATTAACACTAAGGAAGAACATTTTGTGTTGTCTAGCTATAATGTGGTTTGAGGACTTAAGCCCATTGCTTCTAATGTAAAATGACAGACTAATATTCGCCATTCACTTGAAGAACTCGCTAATGTTCAATGTAAATTTTAAGGTATATGGAATTAAGTTAAATAGCTGGAAACATTTCCTTTCATTTCCTCCACTTTTTTTTTTCTTTTCTTTTTTTTTTGAGACAAAGTCTCACTCTGTCGCCCAGGCTGGAGTGCAATGGTACAATCTTGGTTCACTGCAACCTCTGCCTCCCAGATTCAAGTGATTCTCCTGCCTCAGCCTCCCCAGTAGCTGGGACTACAGGCGTGTGCCACTACACCAAGCTAATTTTTGTATTTTTAGTAGAGATAGGGTTTCACCATGTTGGCCAGGCTGGTCTTGAACTCCTGACCTCAAGTAATCCAACCACCTCGGCCTCTCAAAGTGATGGGATTACAAGCATGAGCCACTGTGCCTGGCCATTTTCCTTTCTTTCCATTCCCCAAGAATGAACTGGCCAAATTAAAAAAATAAATAAAGCAGACTTCAAGTAGGTACTTCAGATTTAACTTTGAACATACAGCTATCTTTTTTGAGTGACAGCTAGGTATTTGCCAAATGCTATAGATAGACACATCCAGACAGCCTGAAGGAAACTTGCCTGATCCAACAGTTTGCATATACATCTCTTTTCACATTCAAATGTTCTTAAAAATAAGTGGATTTTAAAATGATGCCAATATACCTGAAAATGCCAGTTAATTTTAGACAGAAATTTAAAAGACTGCCTGAATTTGATTGAGACAACTGTCAAAAATAAGAAAATACCCAGAAAATCTAGTAGTGAGGATCTGGGCAGATACACTGTAAAATCATCTCAATTGTTTCTAGTGCCAGATTTAGATGCCTGTTAACAACTCACGTCTTTATAAGGAGGCTCCAAAACTGCAAAAGTTTCCAATAAAAGGAAACTTCTGATGCCCATGTGAGTTTTCCATCAATTTCTTCTATGCTGTGATAAGCTTCTGTGAGTCTCAGCTACAGGCAGTGTTCTATTACACCCTTTCCCAAGTCTCAGGAGTTTTTCAAGATTTATTTGAAAATACACGTGGTCTTCTCACTCTGCTTTAGCATCAGCTCCAAGACAGTTCTGCTTTCATCCTTAAAGAACTTCAACGTGTATTTCTTTCAGATAAAGGCTTGCTGTCTTTAAGAATTCCAAAGTGTTTTTGATGTAAATAGGAAGAAATGTCTTTAGACATCAAGTAATGAAACCTATAGATTTCATCAATGTCCATGGCAATTGGCTGTTTAAAAGCTGTTAATTTGTTTACTTCTGAACAAATTAGAGAAGAGATACCTGGATGGGAAACCCAGGTGAAATTACTAGATTAGGTTCCAATGCATTAAGACAGACTTTCCATGACTTCAGAGCCTGGAATATGATTTTAAGCCATTTTACTGGATAATTCCTATGATTCATTTTGCATTCAACCACTGTGTCTGCTTTTTATTTTTCCAGCACACATCTTCCCAAAACTAAATCCTATGTCTTCAATAGCAGACAGTGGTGAGAGAAACATACACCATGTGGCCTTCATGTGAGTCACCTGTGTTACAGGTCATTAAGGCATTTAGGGAGATGAGTGACAAATCAGGAGTCAAAGAAAGAGGTTACCTGGAATCTGGAAGCGCTTCTCGCTCTTCCACTTCCTCAGCTGCAATTCATTCTCTTCCTTTCTTTTACCTTTTCCCCTCCTTTTTCTTCTTCTTTGTCTCCCCTTTTCTGTCTCTGAAACATAGAAAAACACTTTTGAAAAGCATGTTACTCAGTTGAAAGAACAGATAATAAATGGATCAGTTACAGGGTTTGCAGTCTGCTCTCTCCCTCACCTCCCACATGCACATCCCCCATCTACTAAAAACCAAAAGCCAAAACACATAAACACAACACAAAACAAAAACCCTTCTTGGGAAGAGCAGCTCTTCCTCTCTCCCCTCTCTTCCTAACCCCACCCCTATCAACTCCCAGGGAGGTTAGGAGCCGCATTTGGGTCACTAGATTTCACAAATGAAGATCAAGGTACTTGTTAGAAATAAGTAAAATAATGTACAGAATTAAAGAAGACCTTGGAAGGGAGAGGAGGCCCGGTAAGTCAAGAGCCACCCTCCCAGCCAGGCGCAGTGGCTCACGCCTGTAATCCCAGCACTTTGGGAGGCCGAGGCAGGCGGATCACCTGAGGTCAGGAGTTCAAGATCAGCCTGGCCAACATGGCGAAACCCCGTCTTACCAAAAATACAAAAAAAAAAAAAAAAAGTTAACCCACGAGTGGTGGCGGGTGCCTGTAATCCCGGCTACTTGGGAGGCTGAGGCAGGAGAATCCCTTGAACCTGGGAAGGGGAGGTTGCACTGAGCTGAGATCAGGACATTGCACTCAAGCCTGGGCGCCAAGAGCAAAACTTCCGGCTCAAAAACAAACAAACAAAAAAACCGAACCACCCTCCCCCACCCCTGACTGACTTCAAAACTCAGTTTGAAGTTGAGAGTTGAATCCAAGGAGTGAAGAGGGGAACTCAGGGAGGGGAGACATGCAGGCTCTATGGGCTGTGGAAGCACGTCTGACACATAGGAGACATTTAGTAAATATTATTGAATTAATTAAAAACAACAGGAGTGGAGACAAAAATCTATGTGGGAGCTACAAATTAGATATCCTTATTTTCTAAGAGTCCAATAAAGATTTGAATTGCTGTTAATTACTTTTGCTTGATGGATTGGAGTTCTTTCTGTGACACTCTGTGAGAGGAGAGAGAAAGAAATCAACTAGGCAGATAGGGCAAGGGTCCTTCTAACAAAAAGCAGCTTCTAACACAGAAAGGGGCCTCCTGTGTGACAGACAGCCATCCAGTGGGCCCCAGTAAGCACAGTCCTCTCCCTTCTTGGAAATACTCAGACAAGGAGGCTTGCACAGCTGGGAGTGCCTGCAGCAGCACTGATAAGAAGAGCTACCCTGGACCAGGAAAGTCCACTGTGGAGGATTCTGCCTCCTGGCCTTTTTCACACATGCGCAGTGGGAAGAGATACTCAACGTGGAGTAATTTAAGACTAAGGAGGCCTGGCGCGGTGGCTCAAGCCTGTAATCCCAGCACTTTGGGAGGCCGAGACGGGCAGATCACGAGGTCAGGAGATCGAGACCATCCTGGCCAACACGGTGAAACCCCGTCTCTACTAAAAAATACAAAAAACTAGCCGGGCGAGGTGGCGGGTGCCTGTAGTCCCAGCTACTCGAGAGGCTGAGGCAGGAGAATGGCGTAAACCCGGGAGGCGGAGCTTGCAGTGAGCTGAGATCCGGCCACTGCACTCCAGCCTGGGCGACATAAAAAAAAAAAAAAAAAAAAAAAAAAAAAGACTAAGGAGCCCGCATGAGCACTAGAAAAAGTGGGGTGGGAACTGTCAGAAATTCGAGTCTTATGTAAATGAAACACCCCTCCCTACCAGCTTGTCTACAAAAACCCTTGCATTTCATTGTAAAATGGCAACCCATCTTTCTGGGATCCTTCTCTGTTCCCGAGAGCTTTCTTCCTTTCGCTTATTAAACTTCTGCTCTAACCTGATCTTTGGAGTGTCAGCATCCTTGATTTCCTCTGCCGTGATAACAAGGACTTCCAGTAACACCCAGACGATGAGGCTGGTTTCAACTCTTTGCCCTGGCTTTTATGCGAGTTATATACACACCTTGTCATCTACCACATTGGGAAGTTGACATCACTTGGTAAACCACAAAGCTGGTGTTAGAATGGGGTTTGTTACTGTTGTGGATGAGCATCTCAATGACAAGATACACTTGCTTTTTAAAAATAAATGTCTCCCTGGCTGGGCTCAGTGGCTTACACCTGTAATCCTAGCACTTTGGGAGACCGAGGTGGGCGGATTGCCTGAGGTCGGGAGTTCATGTGTGGCCAACATGGTGAAGACCCGTCTCTACCAAAAATACAAAAAAATTAGGTGGTGTGATGTGCGCCTGTAATCCCAGCTACTCAGGAGGGTGAGGCAGGGGAATTGCTTGAACCAGGGAAGTGGAGGTTGCAGTGAGCTGAGATTGTGCCACTGCACTCCAGCCTGGGCAGCAGAGCAAGACTCCATCTCAAAAAAAAAAAAAAAAGTCTCCCCAAGAAAACCGTAGAATGCTTACCATTTTCACATGTTATTTTAGAGAGGTGATAGTGCCAAATCCCTTATTACATGGGTACTAAGTTATAGACTTCCAGATGGAATGTAAGAAAATACAAAATATTTTTGATGAAGCAGTAGAATGAAGGTAAAAATGGGTGAAATGTATTTATACTTTCAAGAATGGCAGTTGAACATCTGCTGGGTGCAATGTAGCATTAGGAAATGTGGTTAGAGCATCAGAAAATCAGAAATTCTGATTTACATTAGGAGTGTGGTAAATGCATTTCTACCCATATGAAAATATAAGTTGAAAATCATGTAATTCCCTCCTCCCAGGAATGCTAACCTCCCTCTTCGGGGAATCTCTCTTCCTGATTCTAGACATGTGGAGGTTCTAAAGGGGGCTTCACATGACAGGGCTCCATTGTTTTGGCCACAATTGATGAGTCCAGAGATGGGCATCTAACCCAAACCAGCTAGAGATGTTGTTGAAGGCTTTGCTTCTCATTATGTAAAGAAGCTTGTCTGGGAAAAAAAAAAAAAAAAAAGGTGTGTGTGTTGCGGGAGGTGGTGTGCAAAAAGAAAAGAAAAGAAAATGAGGGAGAGAAAGAGAGGCCCCACAGAACAAGAGTTCCTATCTCCATGGGCCTGTGCTCAGCCGCACCCCTGCTTTCTCCTGCGGACAACTGAACTGATAAGTTTCCATTTTTTTACTAAGCTAGCTTGAGTTAGTTGTTTTTTTTTTTTTTTTGGTCACTAGTATTCAAAATGTTTCTAACTAATATACTCAATACATTTAAAGTGGTCTATATAAATGAGCAAGGGGCTTTGCTACACCAAAGAATTATTTTATGAGCCTTAACAAAATAGACTTCTGAAACCAAAGACTTGTTTAAAATCCCGAGTTTATTGCTCACTAGTGGAGTAAATTTGAGCTACTGCCCTTGAACTGTAGTTTCAGTACTACCTATAAAAAGCAATAAATACATACATTTATAGATACACATATATGTATATAACTTTTTGTCCTAAGGATCAAATGAGATAATATATATTAAACACTGTAAGTATAGTATAAGTATAGTTCACTCTATGAAAGGTGGTCACTGTTTTATACCCACTCTGATGATCCTGAATTAAAAGAAACAAAAGTTACAGACACACTGTTGCTATACTGAAAGAATGTGAGTTGGAATGATTAAGGGAGTTTAAGAACATTCCTCAGTCAGATGGGGAGAGAATTATGGCCCTGTTAAGTGAGCTCTTGGTAATTATTCAGAGCAAAGTCAACAGAATTATTTGCCACAGATAATACAGATAAGGGACCTGATAGAGTAAGTAGATTACCTCCTTTAGAGCTAATGCGAAACTATTTGGTAACATGAGAAAGAAAGTGGAAGAAATAACACTTCTAGAGGTAACTAATGCTTTTCTGAAAATTCCTGGGTTTTTTCAGGGATCTCAGCATATTAGTTGGACAACTTGATTAGACTCTGTGTAGATACTGATGTCTGCGCATAGTCAACCACTAGAGAAGGTGCACTATTGGATCACTGGAGAACTATAAAGAGAATCTTAACTATTAATTTATGCAAAGGATTCTGGTAAGTTGTCTTAGATGAAGAATATGGTGCTAAAATTGCATCATTTGCAATCCTTGGTTGTGTGTGAACACAGTGTCACACTTTCTGGATTGATGATCTACTTTTCAAAATTTGGCCAGTGGTTCAGCCTTTTGAAGTAGTTATAAAGGCATCATCACAATATCTAACCAAAGTGTAAAAGATCATCTGGGGCATCTGAGATTATTGCCAATTGAAAATTATAAAGGTGATCTGAAACACAGCTTTAAAAATGCTACTTGGAACTCCCAGATGTCAAATACTCCACAGGAGACGGAAAGTAAACAAGTAGACCTTTCTCTCCACAACCCGTTTTCCCTCATCCCTACCATATGAAATAACAAACATCTTCAAATTACCTCCAACCAAAATGCAGCTGTTGTCTTCTGTATGTCACTTTCCCTGAGCCTCCAATGCTGCTCTCACCTCTAAAGCAAAGTACAGAAAATCGTTGTCTGCTTGGAGTTCCTAAGGCATGATATTCATCACCTGCTAGTATGGCCTTTATCCTATAATGTTGCAGGTACTAAAGTGTTTGTTTCCCATACATGACTTCAGGCAAAGTGCTGAGTGTATTCCTTGAGTCCTGGGACTTTGGACTCATTACACCTGTTGAATATTGGAGTTTCCTCTCACAGGATGGACATTTGCTCCCCACTGAGAAGTTGAGTACTGAGCCCTGGGTAATTTTAAAACTGCTCCACCTTCATCAGGACCTTTCAAAAAGTTTTCTTTGTTCTCATGTGGGTGTCACATTTGAAGATAACCAACAAGAAAACACTGAAGTTTTTAAGATAATTGACTTTCTCCAACTACATGGAAGACAAATAATTTAACTTAAAAAATAAGCGAGCCAGTTGTGATAGCCACGGAGGATGACAGTCTGGGAAAAAGATGGCTTCTCTGAGGCAAAGGGGAATGTGCCTCTCTAAAGCTATATGTTGCAGAGGTGGATTACATCAAATCTGGAGTATTACACTGAGATACTTATAATGTTTCATTAATCTGGTTTAACTCAGCATAGGCAATGTAATTTGTTTATCCAGATCCTAGAG